ATTATCTCTCCAATAGTGCGTGTGTGTGTGTGCGCGTGTGTGTGTGTGCGTGTGCGTGTGTGTGCATGCGTGTGTGTGTATGATTAGAATAAAAACAGAAGTGAATAGAAGAGAAACAACATAGGAGTGTCTCAAAAGTACCTAACAACTATCGTTAACACCCTAGCATCCATCCTTACCACCTTAGCTGCCACCCTGAACACCCTACCAACCCGCCTGAACACCCTACCAACTATCATAAACATCCCAGCAACCATCCTGAACACTCTAGCAACCATCCTCAACATCTTAGCAACCATCCTGAACACCTTAGCAACCATCCTGAACACCCTAGCAACCATCCTGAACACCTTAGCAACCAGCCTGAACACCTTAGCAACCATCCAGAACACCATAGCAACCATCCTGAACACCCTAGCAACCATCCTGAACACCCTAGCAACCACCCTGAACACCCTAGCATACATCCAGAACACCCTAGCAACTAACCTGAACACCCTAGCAGCCATCCTAAACACCTGAACACCCTAGCAACCATCCTGAACACCCTATCAGCCATCCTGAACACCCTTGCAACTATCCTGAACACCATAGCAACCATCCAGAACACCCTAGCAACTATTCTGAACACCCTAGCAACCGTCCTGAACACCCTACCAACCAGCCTGAACACCTTAGCAACCATCCAGAACACCCAGGCAACCATCCTGAACACCCTACCAACCATCATTAACATCATAGCAACCATCCTGAACACCATAGCAACCATCCAGAACACCCTAGCAACTATTCTGAACACCCTAGCAACCATCCTGAACACCCTAGCAATCATCCAGAACACCCTAGCAGCCATCCTAAAAACCCTAGCAACCATCCTGAACACCCTAGCAACCATCCTGAACACCCTAGCAGCCATCCTGAACACTCTAGCAACCTTTCTGAACACCCTAGCAACCATCCTGAACACCCTAGCAACCATCCTAAACACCCTAGCAGCCATCCTGAACACCCTAGCAACCATCCTGAACACCCTAGCAGCCATCCTGAACACCCTTGCAACTATCCTGAACACCATAGCAACCATCCAGAACACCCTAGCAACCATCCTGAACACCCTAGCAACCATCCTGAACACCCTAGCAACCATCCTGAACACCCTAGCAACCATCCAGAACACCCGAGCAACTATGCTGAGCACCAGAGCAACCATCCAGAACATCCATTAGTCAAAGACAAATTAAATGTAAAATTATCTCTCCAATAGCTGTGTGTGTGTGTGTGTGTGTGTGTGTGTGTGTGTGTGTGTGTGTGTGTGTGTGTGTGTGTGTGTGTGTGTGTGTGTGTGTGTGTGTGTGTGTTTGAGTGAGAGAGCTGATGCAACTGCTGTGTGGCTGAATAATTCCTGCTTTCGTCCCGTTATCTGTGTGTGTGTGTGTGTGTGTGTGTGTGTGTGTGTGTGTGTGTGTGTGTGTGTGTGTGTGTGTGTGTGTGTGTGTGTGTGTGTGTGTGGGCGAGCAGCATGTGTCAAGCGTTCTGTCAGGGAAACAGCCCTTAATCATTAACCTGCACTTAATGAAGAGGAGATTGATGTGGTGAAATGAGCGCCTCTTCTCCACATCAGCTCAGGATTCATTTCCTCTCCGTGTGCCGTCAGCTGCTGCGTAATCTTCTGCATCGCCTCCACATCCACACGCTTCTCTGGTCATTTGCAGACCTCTCTAAGAGGCACAGTTACCCCAAATCAGAAGCTCCTCATTTACTCAGCCCAGACTGGTTCATTCACTCACTCCACCAACTGTTCCAGCATATGTTTTACACAGCGGATATGCTTCCAGCTGCAACCCAGTACTGGAAAACACCCATACACACACACACAAACACACACACACACTCATACACCATGGCCAGTGTAGTTGATCAGTTCCCCTGTAGCGCATGTGTTTGGACTGTGGGGGAAACCGGAGCACCCGGAGGAAACCCACGCCAACACGGGGAGAACATGCAAACTCCACACAGAAACACCAACTGACCCAGCCGAGACTCAAACCAGAGACCTGAGTGCTGTGGGGCGATTGTGCTGCCCACTGCATCACCGTGACACCCTAAGATTGATAATGTATGATGATAATAATGGTGTGTGTGTGTGTGTGTGTGTGTGTGTGTGTGTGTGTGTGTGTGGGTGTGTGTGTGTATATCTGTCAGGGCTGAGGAAGGTGATGGTGCGAGCACACCGGCAGGCGTGGTGTTGGCAGGACGAGTGGTACGGTCTGACTATGGAGGACATCCGTCAGCTGGAGCTGGAGACGCAGTTGGCGCTGGCGCAGAAGATGGCGCAGTACAGCGAGGAGGCGGAGGGCGGCGGCGCCCCCTGCGGGCAGCAGAAGGAGAGCGAGGAGCCCGCGGAGAGCAGGGGCAGCAGGGTGGAGGCGGACGGGGAGGCACGGAGTGGGGGTGACACACTGCAGGCCCGTGGGGAGCTCACCAAACAGTGGTCCACCTCATCCAGATCCTCACGCTCATCCAAAAGAGGAGGTGCGGGCACACACACACACACACACACACACACACACACATACACACACACACACACATACACACACACACACACATACACACACACACACACACACTGCTGCTTAGACATATCGAGAATATGAGCTCAGGATGCTGCACACCAGCCGAATAGATCCTCATCAGCAGCTGTTTCTAACACGGAAGGCTTTACTCTGAACACGCACCAGCTGATCTGCATTATTCTAATAATAATAAAAAAAAAATAATAATAATAATGACAATAATAACGATAATAATAATAATAACAATAAAAATAATAACCACAATAATAACGATAATAATAATAACGACAATAATAACGATAATAACGCTAATAATGCTAATAATGATAATAATAATAATAACAACAATAATAACGATAATAATAACAATAATAATAATGATAATAATGATAATAATAACGATAATAATAATAATAACAATAATAATAGCGACAATAATAACGATAATAAAAATAATATTGATAATAATAATAATAATGATCATAATAATTATGACAATAATAACGATAATAATAATAATAATAATAATGATATTAATATTAATAATAATAATAACGATAATAATAATAACAACAATAATAACAATAATAATAACGATAATAATAATAACGAAAACAATAGCGATAATAATAATAATAATAACAACAATAATAATAATATTAAAAATAATAATAATAATAATAACCACAATAATAACAATAATAATAATGATAATAATAACGATAATAATAACGATAATAATAATAATAACAATAATAATAGCGACAATAATAAAGATAATAAAAATAATATTGATAATAATAATAATAACGATCATAATAATTATGACAATAATAACGATATAATAACGATAATAATAATTATAATAATGATAATAATAACAATAATGATAATAATAATAATAATAACAATAATAATAATGATAATAATATTATTAATAATAATAACGATAATAATAATTACGACAATAATAACAATGATAATAATAATAATAATAATAATGATAATAATAATAACAACAACAATAATAATAATAATAATAATATTAAATAATTCCTTACATTTATATAGTATATAGACACTCAAAGTGCTTTACACATGTTTGGGGGAATCTCCTCGTCCAGTGTGCAGCATTCACCTGGATGACGCAATGATATGAGGAGGATTAGGAGGCCATGATGGACAGAGGCCAGTGAGCAGTGCTGGAGTTAAACCCTACTCTTTTCCAAGGACATCCTGGGGTTATTTATGAGCACAGAGAGTCAGGACCTTGGTTTAATGTCTGAAAGATGGTGCCCGCTGAGCAATATAGTGTCCCCTTCACTATACTGGGGCATTAGGACCCACACAGTCCACAGGATGAGCGCCCCCTGCTGTCCTCACTAACACCACTGAGCTGCACAGAGCGATCTGCCGGCTATTATACTGATGATTACATGACCAGAGGACACTGAGCTACACTATCACACACTACACAGACATCTGAGCTGTGATCATCCACTAACTGAACATGAAGCGTGCAGAAAGAGAGATGGAGGACGGAGATTCATGAACCTCATTATTCCCATGATTATTATAGGCTCTTATTAGTCATGTGGTTCTGGTGATGCGCCAAATTCAGATGGAGGACAGAAAGTGAAAGTGAGACAGAGAGAAACGTCTGTATTTCTGCGATGATACCATATGTCAAAGGAGAAGCAAAGCAGATATGAGCATGCTCCTTATATCCTGACGAGGGCTGAGTTCACTACTGAACTCAACTGTATTTATCTGTCATCAAGGCGGCTTGTACAGTATTCTGTATGTAAAAAATAAGCAAATCTGTTACGCTACATGAAAAGATACGACAGTAACCAGTGTTTGGAAGCATACTGTAGATAACTACATCCATTACACTGGTGTAGTGGTGATGATGTTGCTGTGGTGGACACTACTGGAGTAATAAGCAGATTATTTCACAGGCTTCAGTTCTCTACGCTATAATCCCAGTGCAGCTCAGTTTACACTCGCGTTACAGTATGTACTACAGTGTTCTGCAGCGTTCATTACTGAAGAGTTGTGCTACACTGTACTGTGTGCTTCAGAAACATCTTTATTATAGATCACTATAGTTTCCCCCATGTGGAGATCCTCCAGACATCACCAAATAAAGCGTACAGCAGCAGGTGGCGTCGTCCACATTATTACTGATGCATCGCTGTGAGGGGGAGTAACGAGTGCTCCACTATCAGAACCGTCTAGTGTTGTCACACGCTTCTGTTCTGTTCTGTTGCTGAACTCATCATCAACACACTTTCACCGCTGCTGCGCATCTGCATGCTCACGTTACGGGTGATTATCCCACCAGAACACCAGTGTAGTCTTGGGTTATTGCGATACGAGACGGCGAGTGCAGGGTGGAGTGTGTTACTGATATTCTCCTGGATGTTGACTTTTACATGACACATTACCACACTTACACACATAGCTCAGCCTGTGAATAATCTATATATGAGGTTATCACCTTCAGAAGAGTTTGTACACATGGATGTGCTGAATAAATGCTCATTACATGTCGTCTTCCGTCTGTTTCCTAATCTTTCCTCTTCTTGAGCTGAAGTTGTGTTAAAGCTGTTCAGCGTTCCTCATTTAGCTGATTTAAACAATAATAAACAGCAGAAAACAGAAACATTCTGATGATTCCTGTGTAGAAGAACCACTTCCTGTCCTCCGCCGTCATCAGTGACGTCATGTGAAAGCAGTGTGTTGTTGTCCTGCATGAGCACACACACACACACACACACACACGCACACACACACACACACACATGCAGATCTGCTGATGCAGCTGAACACACCCTCACTCATTATGTCTTATTTTTACAATATCTCCCTCGAGCTGTTTAACAGAGCCTGACATATCATTATTAATATCTATATCTACATCAGTTGAGCTGGAATATCAGTGTTTTTAATACTTTCATCATGATGAATCTCCTTATGAGACGATCAATTGACTGTCGCCTCATCACCCTCACTACACTGCTAAATGTGCTCACATCATGCAAAACACTGCTCTCCTGCAGCCATTATATAGAGAATATGAACTAAAGAGCTGTGTGTGTGTGTGTGTGTGTGTGTGTGTGTGTGTGTGTGTGTCCTGCAGGAAGTCCCTCTCGTCACAGTATCTCTGAGTGGCGGATGCAGAGCATCGCTCGAGACTCTGAGGACAGCACAGACGACGAGTTCTTCGACGCTCACGGTAAAGCACACACACACGCACGCACGCTGACCCTCATTCCTCAGTGGATGACCTCTGACCTCTCTGTGAACTCTGACCTGTTGCTCCTCAGAGGACTTCTCTGATAACGAGGAGATCTTCGCTAAAGAGATCACCAAGTGGAGCTCCAACGACCTGATGGACAAGATCGAGACGGCGGAAGCGGAGGAGGCTCAGGGTACACACACACACACACACACTCACTACACACACACACACACACACACTCACTACACACACACACACTCACTACACACACACACACACACACTCACTACACACACACACACACACAAACACAGTTTACGTATGCACACACACACACACACAC